AATACCACCAGCGTGAACATTCGTTACTCACTCCACGTGGCCGGATTAAGCATCCAAGGTTTCCCGACTGTTGCTGGGATCGTCCCTGCCAGATCTAACGGCCCCGTGGTTTATTTCCCTTCGAAAACTTGGTCCAATGGGACAAACAGTCCTCCCTTCGACCTTGGTTGGATAAAGCAAGGTGATGCAAGGAGGATGGGCCTGCTCTATAAGTATACTTCATCCGGATGGTGCTATGATGCAGGGAGCGTTGCTGCAAGGGCAGGAATAACCGTCGTTGATGTTATTGGAGGGATGATGGCGTCCCCAAAATCTTATTATGGGACCATTATGGCTCCTGGCGGGAGGGCAAGGGGTGTCTTTACGCTGCAACCACTGCTAGATAAGATGTTTCGTTATGGCTCCTCATCATCTTGAATGCATTTCATCATGTGGTGCACTGCACGGACGTCATGCTGATTTGTACAGTGTAGACTGTCAGCTCAATTAGAGCCTCTCTTAGTGCTATTTTTGCTTTGAAAAACTTCCAAGAATCAGTTGACCTGGACTTTATAATATGTGCTATGGTGAAGGACATTGAGGCTCTAGTAATGAACTTATCGAATGCAACTCCATTGAGGTCATCAATTGCGGTCGAGTGCTTTCCCCCCACGAACCCCATGCTTGCCTGCTTTTTGGGCTGCGGTAACCATGCATCGCTAGTCACTGTTTGACGAGTCGTTGCCCACGTATTCGTCGCATTGAGAAAGCTTGCTTCTATAGCAATTGGCATCGTTCTCATTACAATGGGTTCAAGTACATTGGTTCCTAGCAATAATACCAATATACTATCACATCCAAAGTGTCTAAGTACTATTCTCAAAAAATGACTAGCCTGTGGAGGGTGGGTGGGAATTGAACTTGATCGATTGTAATAATGAGAGACGTGGGTAGGGGAAGAATGACCACAGCCTACATTATATATTCGGAGAAAGCGAATACCGCGCTTCGATGATGCACAAAATTGCGTTACAGTCAGCTTTGCTTTCACAATACGCAAATTTGAAAGCGATAAACGATAAGAAAATTTTCAATTTGCGAGATCACAAGTCGTCGCAGACCAGTAAATTCTCCAACTTTGGCTGGTAACTTACCTGCGAGGCCCACAAATCCGTCGGCGAAAACAAATTGGCCACGGCAAATTTCACATTTGCCGAGTCGATATTGCCAAGGCGAAGGTGCCCGGCCTCGATGAGATCACGAATGAAGAAGTAGCGAAGCTCAATGTATTTGGAACGCCCATGGTACACAGCATCCTTGGCGAGGTGAATGGTGTTGGCGTTGTCATACCAGATGGTGGGACAGCGTTGGGGGGCACCAAGCTCATCGAGGAGGAAGGTGAGCCAGTGCGCCTCCTGCGCAGCCATGGTTGCTGCGTAAAGCTTTGCCTCACAGGAGGAGAGGGCGATGGCAGAGGAGTGTGTGGACCGCCAGCTGATGAGACGGCGGCATAAAGAGAAGCCATTACCCTGAGAGGACCGCTCGTCCGGGCGGGAGTCAGCCCAGGAAGAATCACTGTAGCTGTTGAGGAGGGGTTGGGAAGGGCCGCCAAGGGTAAGGACATAGTCCTTTGTGCCACGAATGTAGCGAAGGACGCGCTTGGCGGCCTGCCAGTGTTCCTCCGTGTGCTTGCCAGCGCCAACGAAGCGAGCGAGGACGCTGATGGGGTAGGCAAGGTCAGGGTGAATGGAAACCATGGCGCCCATGAGAGAGCCGATGAGTTCAGGATAAGGATGGGAGGAGGCAAAGGGAGAGGAGGGTGGGGAGAGGTGGTGCCCAACTGAGAGTGGAGTGGGCTGGGGGCTACCATACACCATTTCAAACCGGTCCAAGACTTGCTGGAGATAGTGACCATGAGAGAGAGAGATGGTGCGAGCAGAGCGGTCGCGAGTGATGGTCATGCCGAGGTAGTGCTGCAGCTCTCCCAAGTCTTTGCACTTGAGACGGGTGCCCAGCTTGGCCTTGACACTCTCGAGCTCGTCAAGGTGAGCAGTGAGAAGGATCATGTCGTCAACATAGACGAGGATGTAGAAGGGGGATAGGGAGGTGTGGAGGAAGAGGCTGGCGTCAGAGCGGGAGGTGCGAAACCCAAGCTCGGCAAGGGTGGCTGCAAGCTTGGCATGCCACTCCCTGGGTGCCTGGCGGAGCCCGTACACGGGTCGACGCAACTGCCAGACGGAGTCGGCGGGGAAAGGGAGGTGAAAGCCCGCCGGGCGCTCCATGTAGATTAGTTCACGGAGCACGCCTTGCAAGAAGGCGTTGGTGACATCAATCGGGTGGATCTCCATGTTGAGATGAGCGGCGAGGTCTAGGACGGCGCGAACGGTAGCAGGCTTGGCGGTGGGGGAGAAGGTGTCGAAGAAGTCAACCGCATACCGCTGCGTGAAGCCTTTGGCGCAATACCGGGCCTTGTAGACGGGCGGCTCTCCTGGTAGCTCTTTCACGCGAAACACCCACTTCCCCTTCACCACGTTCGTAGAGGGAGGAGGGCGAGGTACATCAACGAAGGAGGAGTTGGCGACAAAGGCCTCCAGCTCCTTGATGATGGCGCCGAGCCAGAGCGGGGCGTTGGGGCAAGCCATGGCCTCCTCATACGTGGTAGTAAAAATAGTGGATGGAGTAGAGAAGGCGAAAACTGGCGCTCCAGAGAGGTCGAAGGTGATGCGTAGAAGGGAGGGGTCACAGAGGTGGAGGTCAAGGAACTCCTCATGGGAGTCCTCAGAGAGGGAGGTGTGGAAGGCGCGGATGGCCGCTGGTGCTGCTGCTGGTGCCGCTGCGGGTGCCGCTGCTGGTGCCGCTGCTGGTGCCGTTGCACGAGCTGCTAATGGTGCCGCTGCTGGCGCCGCTGCTGGTGCCGCTGCTGGTGCCGGTGCTGGTGCCGCTGCGGGTGCCGCTGCTGGAGCCGCTGCAGGTGCCGCGGCTGGTGCCGCTGCGGAGGCCGCTGCTGGAGGTGCTGCTGCTGATGATGAAGGAGAGGTGGCTGCAGGAGCTGTTGCAAGAGGGGCTTAATGCAAGACAACCTGGAAGAAGTGGTGAAGGAGAGGGGAGAGGGGGGGGAGGGTAGAGGTAGAGAGGGTAACAGGGGGCGGTGCACCAAGGATACCGTCACGTGACCAGGTGTGAGGGTACCGGGTGAGTATGGTGCGGGGAGGGGGGGAGGGAGGTGAGGGTTGAGAGGGAGGGGGGGGGAGGGGAACCGGGGGAGGAGTGAGTGGGGGAGACAGGGGAGGACAGAGGGTCCGGGTCAAAGATGTCACCAGACGAGGGGGGGCACCGTGGGACTGGGAGGGCGGAGGGGGAGGGGATGGGAGGATGGGGGGAGGAGGGAGTAGAGGGGGAGGGGTGGTGTCAGACTAGACAAGGGGACAGGTGAGAGGGGGGAGTGGGTCAGTGGACGGAGGAGAGGAGTAATACGGGGTGGACTCATCAAAGAGGACATCTCGACTGCGAATTAGTCGACCGGAGGGGGGGTGGAGGAAAAGGTAGTCGGGGGAGGAGGGGTTATGACCAAGGAAGATGCAAGGAAGAGTACGAGGGGCAAGCTTTCCCAAGGAACGGGATCGGTCAGATGGGTGAATGAGGACATGTGCCTTGAGTTTGCTCTGAACACAAACGGTGCAAGGGGGGGTAGGGAATTTGGGTAGGGGAGGGAGGGAGGAGGGGAGAGCGTGGAGGAGACCAGAGGAGACAGAGGAGCGCAGAGTAGCGAAGTTGGGGTGACCTAGCCTCTGATGGAGGAGGATGGTAGGGTGGGAGAGGAAGCGACATGAGCAGTCAGAGACAGGGGGGCGGGGGGGGACGGGTGGGTTAGTGGAAGGGAGGGGAGGGGGGGGGGGGGGGGGAGGAGGGGGGGGGAGGCAACTTGGAAGGTGAGGGGGCGGGGAACCCGAAGGGTGTACAGACGGGAGCGCGGACAGAAGGGAATACAAGAGAGGAAGCGACCTATGGAGGTTTGGTAGAGGTCACAATGGTTAGCACCACCTGGGATGACTGTGGTGATCATGGCTTGTTGGAGGGACCTTTGGGAGAGGAGGTTAGTGCAAAGGGAGGGAATGTGAAGACATGTGACAATACCTAAGGGAAAGAGAGGACAGGGAAGGGTGGACGTGTTGTGACAGGGGATGGAAAAGCTGCTATCAGCACCGAGGAGGGACGTAGGTGTGGGGAGAGGATGGAGTGTGCCAGCATCGCGAAGGACAGTGTAAGTGGCTCCACTGTCCAGGACGAACTCAAGGGTGGAGGAAGGTGAGGCAGAGTACTGAATTGAAGTTTCATTAGTAGCAGGGGCATACATGGGGGATGCAACAGATGGAGGCTGACTAAGCAAGCCAACAAAGCCAGAGGAGGGGAAGGGGGTCACACTACCACCTGTAGACGGCACAGGGGACGGACCGGAGAGGTGGGCCGTGGAGGCCGCATTCCCGGCGGTCCAGCTGGGAAACGGCTGCTGCTGGGGAACAGGAGGAGGAGGGAGAAGAGGAAGCTGGGGCTGGAGATCGAGCTACTGCTGGAGGTGCTGAAGCTGCTGCTGGAGGAGCTGAAGCTGCTGCCCGTATTGCTGCGGCCCCTGCTGCTGAACAGTCTAGTGGTGGTGGTGGTGGTGCTGCTGCTGCTGGGAGGGGAGAGTAAAGGCCTGGTGGGCTTGGGAGGAGGAGGAAGGGGCGTAGAGGGGGGAGGTGCGGACATCGAGGGGAGTGGGGCGGGGGTTAAAGGCGGACCAGCGAGGAGGGGTGCCGGAGTTCCCACGAGCGAACCACTCATCGCTAAGTGCCTTGAAGCACGTGTCAGTCACATGAATGGTTTGGTTGCAGCATTGGCCTCGAGTGGGGCCATAGAGCGGAAGATACTAACAGGGTGGGAAGGCCGCTGCTGCACCACGACCCACACCACCACAACCGCCAGAGCTACCTCGACCACCACCACGCCCGCCTCCACGCCCTCCCCCACGCTCGCCTTTGCTGCTACGCTGCTGTGCTACTGAGGCAGTGGAAGAGTGGCGCTGGATTTCAGCTTCAGTGGTGATAATCCATTGTGCAACTTGAGCGGGAGTGTCATGCTTGGAGAGGAGCTGCATGTATGCTAGCTTACGGGCGTCGAAGGCAGGAGTGAGAGCCTCGAGGAGGTGGCAGCAGATGACGGTGTCAGGGTAGACAACACCGAGCGCTGCAAGGCGGCGAGCAAGGTCAAGGACGCGGCAAGTGAAGGCAGCTGCGCCGGCTGTGGAGTCCATGATGATGGATCCGAACTCCTTAATGAGTGCATAGAGAGTGGCGATGTCCTGTCGGTCAAAGAGGTGGGAGGAGGAGGTGGGGGAGAGCTCTCGTTTGAGGGAGGAGGGGATGGTGGCGAGGAGGATGGCGAGGGCTCGACGATCAGCAATGCACCACGCAACGATATCAGTGGTGTAGGTGGCGAGGCGTGTAGTGTAAGTGGCGAGCTGGGCTTGGTATTCGCGGTGGCGGGCAGTAGCACTGTCGTAGGTGCGCTTGTCGTCGTCGTAGCGCAGTTGACGACGAAGGTGGTCGTTGAGTGAGGTGCGATAGGCAAGGATGGCAAACTCCGCGCTTTGTGGGTTGTTAACATCCGGCGCAAAGGAGGGGGGATCACCAGGAGGCTCGGGCTCGGGTCCGTGTTTGTCAAGAGCAGGTCCACCCTCCTCCTGGAACACGACGGAGGGAAGAGTATATCCGCTGACGATGACCGAGGAGAGCAACACCTCGACGGAGTGAGCATAAGAGTGCCAGTTGGCGGCCGAGTTGTCGCCCAGCAGCTTGAGAGTGTCAATGGTCGCTAGATCGTCTGATAAGTCCGACGACGCCATGATGGCGGAGTGGTGAAGGCGCCACTACTGATGTTGCTGATGCCGCTGCTGGTGCCGCCGCTGATGCCGCCGCCGATGCCACTGCTGGTGCCGCCGCTGCTGCCGCTGCCGGTGACGCTGGTGGTGCAGCTGCTGCTGCCGCCGCCAATGCCGCTGCTGGTGCCGCCGCTGCTGGTGCCGCCGCTGCTGCCGGTGCTGGTGCCGCTGCTGCGGCCACCGCCAATGCCGCTGCTGGTGCGGCCGCTGCTGCCGCCGCCGATGCCGCTGTTGGTGCCGCCGCTGCTGCCGCTGCCGATGCCGCTGCTGGTGCCGTTGCTGCTGCCGCTGTTGGTGCTGGTGCTGGTGCCGTTAAGGGTGGAGTAGGGGGGAGGAGGTAGGGGGGGAGAGAGGTTGGCGCTGAAGTGTGGGGAGGGGCGCGGGTGTGGGGCAAGGTAGGGGGGAGGAGGTCGTGGCGATCGCGGGCAGCCGAACGCGACGGCGCGCAGATCAGCCGCGGCTCCGCGCCGGCCGTCCGCATCGACGCGGGGTCCTCGGCGGCCGCGCGCTGGCCGTACGCGTGGACGCGCGGTCCGTTCGTGGCCGCGCGCTGGCCGTCCGCGTCAGCGCGCGGGTGGTCGGCGGCCGCGCGCTGGCCGTCCGCGTCAGCGAGCGGGTGGTCGGCGGTCGCGCGCTGGCCGTCCGCGTCAGCGCGTGGGTGGTCGGCGGTGTCGCGCTGGCCGTCCGTGTCAGCACGCGGGTGGTCGGCGATGTCGCGCTGGCCGTCCGCGTCAGCGCGCGGGTCGTCGGCGATCGCGAGCTGGCCTGCTGCGTCGGCGCGCAGGTCGTTCGTGGCCACGCGCTGACCGTCCGCGTCGGCGCGCAGGTCGTCCGCGTTGGTTGGCAGAGCGAGGCGTGACGGCGGGAGGGAGGATTGGGGCCGCGAGAGGGAGGATTGAGGTTGCGGGAGGGAGGATTGAGGCCACGGGAGGGGGGATTGAGGCCGCGGGAGGGAGGATTGAGGCCGCGGTGGAGTAGATCTGAGCCGAGGAAGGCTAGATCTGAGATGCGGGAGGGCGGTACTGAGCCGCGGGAGGCTAGACCTGAGGTGCGGGAGGGGGGTACTGAGCCGCGGGAGGCTAGATCTGAGGTGCGGGAGGGCGAATGGGGTCATGGTCCGCGAGGGTAGAAACCCGGGGAGGAAAAAAGGGCCTAAGGATCGAGAGAGGACGGCATGAGCCATTTGGCTCTAGGTACCATGATAGAATTCAAGAGTATGATTTGTAATGAGCCAACAAGGCTCTATAATACAAGCATGCAAGGAAGAGAAGGGTGGAGGAGGAGCTAACCCTATTGGCCACTAAGTTGGCCAATGGGTGAGGTGCCTTGTGGAGTAGGAAATTTCACAATGTAGCTAGGTTGGGATTGGTTGATCTAAGGACCAAAAGTTAGCAAGTGCCAACCAAGGGCCAAGACCAAATCCAATCTTGACCAACCACAAAGTGTGGTTGGAGTGTACACCCAACCCCCCAAGAACTTAAAGGACTATACCTATTCTAGCCTATAAATATTGTATGTAGTATACAATTACAACAGTGGCTACCATGTCCTTGGCTTGTCTTCTGTCTTCCATCTTGGCTCGCTTCTCGTCCCCATTGTCTCTACCTGGGAGTTCCACTCCCGAGAGGGTCACCTTTTTCCCCCACCGCACCCCCACCCTCGCATATCCTACCGTCATTCGCCTCCCGCACTCGTGCATGTGTGAGTTGAATGACACGGTGGTGGAAGCACAGCTGCGCACACTGCACATGCCCCCTTGCTGTCCCTTGCTTATCCACTCCATCCTCTCCTCCCCACCTTTCACCCCACCCCCTCCATCCCGTTTCGGCTCTTTCCCTAGCGAGTTGAACGATACGGTGGTGGAGGCACAGCTGCGCACGCTGCACATTCCGCCGCTGCTGCCTGTGTCCCAATGTGCGGACCGCTTCCACTAGTGCCGCAACCGCCTCCTCATCCTCGTGCGTTCCCATAGCCGATTGAATAAGGCAGTTTTTTATCGCGTTTGAAGCAAGCTAAAACTGTATCCCTTACAACAAAGGGCATCATGGTATGCTAATTGAGTTTGGAATGAGATTGGGTGAATGCGACTATGGAAATGCTATGTAACGGGGAAATGGTATTGGGGAATGACATTTACTGCATGAAGCAAGGTCAAACACGTGCCCTTGCGTCTTGCCTCTTCAATTCTTGTGCCCCTGTCGTGTCCCCCTGTCTCTGACCCCTGTCTACTCACCCCCAGGGCTACAACGGCACACTGACAGCCTAGGTGGAGCCACGCAGGCGACGCATGCCGGACCAAATCAAGGAGATGAAGGTGAGAGGGAGGCCGAGGGGTGCTGGGAGGCAGGTGGAGGGGGGTGCTGGTATAGAGAGAGGTGAGAGGCGGGGGAAGATAGGGAGGGGAGAGGTGGAGTGGTGTTGCCCTCTCTCCTTCAGGGCTACAACGGAAAGCTGACTGCCCACGTGGATGCTCGCCAAACTAGATCAAGGAGGCTGAAGGTGAGAAGCAGATACATGGGTGCTACTGTTATTTACTGTGATCACAGAGATGAAGGTACGAGGAGGCAGCTTGAGGTGTGCTCGGAGGGTGGAGCGTCTAGGGCTAATACACTCTCTCCGCACCCCACCTGCTCCCTCTGCCTGCCTCCTACCTTCGTCCCAGGGTGTGAGAGGTTAGGGGCTAGGGAGGTAGTGCTGCTCCTAAGCCCCATCCCATCTTTAACCCTTTTCCCTATGCCAATGCCATCATCATTCATTGCTCACACCACCAGGTGCGTCTACACCCGATCATGCTGGCTGCATTGCACTGGCTCTCCTCCGACCCGGCCAACACGATCGTCATAATGAGCGGGTCGGAGTGTGCCGTGCTGGACGAGGAGTTTGGCCGCGTGAAGGCCAGAGATATGCTGCAGCAGCTGTGGACAGGACCGATTTCAAACACTGCAGTAGACATGGTGCAAGTAAGACTGGATGCACCTCCTCCATCAGGTGGTGCTGTTTCTCATGCACGTGCAGACTGGGCCACTAGGGACATGCTGCAGCACGGCACGTGGAGGAGAGGGAGACGTCGCTGGTGTGGAACTACAAGTATGCCGACGTGAAGTTGGGCCGCATGCAGCCGAGGGACATGCTGCAGCACCTCTGGACAGGACCCATCTCGAACACAGCTGTGGACGTGGTGCAGGTATGACCTCTGCCTGGTGCCGGTGATGTCTCATGCAGGTACTGTTGTGGACGGGTCTAATTTCGAATACTGTTGTGGACGTGGTGCAGGTACGACCTGGTGTGTAGGTGCTGCGGGGTGCAGGTGCTGGCATGCAGGAACCTATAAGACCCCCTCACTCACCTGCATCCCTCTCTAATCCCACTTGTCCCCCTTTCCTATCGACACATTTCTAATGTCAGCTCGACTCACTGGCATGCTTTCCCGCTCACCCTCTCCCACTCACTCCCCTTCTCTCATGGTCGGTGGCAAGTCAGTGGAGGTGCGGCCGGTGGGGGTGAGTAAGGGAGCATCTCATGGAGAGGATGTTGGGGGGGGATAGTTGGATTCACTAAGTTCTGTGCCCCCCCCGTTCCCTGTCCCGGTTGAGTCGACTCAAGAGCATGTTTTGCCGCCTTGCCTTTTTCCCTTCCTTGGCCGCCAACCCCTCACAGGGCGGCAAGTCAGTGGAGGTGCGTTTAGTTGGGGTGAGCAAGGGAGCGGCGATGGAGAGGGTGTTGAGCGAAATAGTTTGATTAATTTATCCCGGACTCATTAACATGCTTTGCTCCTCGCCCTTTCCCCCATTGCCCACCCGCTCTCCCCCTCTCTCAGGGTGGCAAGTTAGTGGAGGTGCGGCCGTTGGGGGTGAGCAAGGGGGCAGCCATGGAGAGGGTGTTCGGGGAGATAGTGTGATTTGTTCAACCCCTCTCTCTCCCTCTCGTTGTCCGTCTCTGTGCAGTCAACTCAGTAGCATGCTATGCCCCTCGCCCTTTCCCCCTTTGCTGACCTGCTCTCCGCCTTGCAGGGTGGCAAGTCAGTGGAGGTGCGGCCAGTGGGGGTGAGCAAGGGAGCAGCGATGGAGATGGTGTTGAGGGAGATAGTGCACCAGAAGTCGCTCCCCTGCCCCTTTGACTTCGTCATAACCGTCGGCCACTTAATCTCACGGGTGAGGCGCCTGCATGCAGCTGCAAGTTTACCCTGCATGGATGAGTCAAGTGCGCCCAGATATAAGCTTCCACTTTATGCCACAGTCAGCTGCACTGCGCGCAGTGATGGGTGGGACGTGTCTGCTGCAAGCTTTCAACTGCTGCCCCCATCCGCATGTGCTGCTGCCAACCACACAGGACAAGGACAAAAACCAGTTCTGTGCACCAGATCTGTTTTTTCTATTCATCTTAAACCCCCTGGTCTACCCCCTTCCTCCCGCCCGTGCCCGCACAGGACGAGGACATGTACCAGCTCTTAAAACCAGACTCTAATTCCATTCCCCTCAAACCCTCTGCTCTCTCTCCCCCGCGTCCCTCTCCCCCGCTTTTCCATTCCCCGCCCCGCCAACATGACCAGGACATATACCAGTTCTTTGAGCCAGACCTGCTGCACGACAACAACATGCCCCCCGGCATGGACGGTTACCAGCAGAGCATGGACGGAACCCCCTTACCTCCCTTCCTCTCACCCCTCATCTCCCCCCCAACCAACAGGACGAGGACATATACCAGCTCTTTGAGCCAGACTTGCCGCACGACAACATCAACAACATGCCGCCTGGCATGGACGGTTACCAGCAGAGCATGGATGGCACCATGGATCCCATGGATGGTAACTGCGGTGTATCCATGGATGGTAACATGGTAACCCTGGGCCATGGACCCTTGGACGGGGCAGCCATGGATCAAGTCACACGGGATTATATCACAGCTCTTGAGCATGCTGATTCATACCTACCAGAGTATTACACTACCAGCCCTACCACCACGTTTGATACAAGCACCACCGCTACAAGCACCCTCACCGCTCCGCACGATTGCTCCAATCCCCCTCCTGAAACCAAGCCTCCGCCGGGCCTGCCTCCCGCACCTCTTCCGAGTGTCCCCGGACCTGACAGCCTAGGCTCGGCCCCTCTGCCTATGTTTGCCAGACCAGGATACGGCAGCCCCATGCCTCAGTCTGCAGCTCGAGGGGGAGGTTCGGGTCCACTGGTGGCTCGGGTGATTTTTGGGGATTCGAAGAGCAGAAGCCAAATGGAAGGGGGTGGAAGACATGCGGGGAGGGATGGTGCTGCTGCCACCACTGCTGCTCCTGCTGCCGCCGCCGCCGCCGCTGCTGCTACCTCAGCAGCTGCTGGTGCTTCGGTTGCTTCTGGTCCCAGCTCTCCCACTCCTTCTTTCTCTGCCGCTTCCGCTGCTGCTAATGCTGCCGCTGCTGCGCTCTCTGACAGCTCTACACGGCCACGCACTCCAGACTCTGTCACAGCACGCAGCAGCCGGCTTAAGGTGGAGTCCCGAGTGGGGGGAGGGGGCTCCGATGGAGATGCAGCAGTAGGGTCGGAAGGAAGAGGTGCACCAGCCGGAGCAGGCGCAAGTGGGGTGGGGGGGAGTAGCAGTGGGAGGAGCCGAGGGAGCGGGCTGGGAGGGTTCCGATGGAAAGGGAGCAAGAAGTCTGAAAAAGAAATCTGCCTTTTCCTTCTCCTCGCCGTCGCTGGTCAGCCTGCTTGGGTCAGCTTTGGAAGGTGCCACGGGCAGCCCGAGAAAAACCGGGATGGGCCAAAGCAGCAGTGGCGGGCGGGGGGAGGCGGAGCTATGTTCCCCAGCTGCAAGCAATGCTGCTGGAACTCAGGGAGTGGGGAACGGGAGTGGAAAGCAATAGGAAGCAAATGGAGGGGAGGCTGGAGAGAGATTGCTTGCGCCGATCACTGGGTTTTCCAACCTGTCGAGCTTTTCAAGTCATTTTGGGACGACTGGCGTTTAGGACGAGTCAGAGTTTTCCACACAGGAGAGCTCGTCAATGCTTCCAACTGTTTTCGACTCAAAAGAGGATGGGCATGGGGAGGAAATAAGCCATCGGAGCAGTGGGGAGTATTGCCCGATTGTTGATCTCAACGCCGATTCATACTTTTCGTGTGCTGTGGGGCGCAAGCGGTCTTTGGCGCGATACTCGCTTGCAACCACTGATGATGTGGTCACCATGCTGAAGGCGATCTCAGATAGCTATGGCCTTGGCCCTGGATTTCGGACAGCTTAGCTTTATTTCTTAGGTTGCCAGTGCGCTAGCGTATGCTGAACGTGTTCAAATCATTTTTCTGTGCGGGGCCCTTGTAACGAGCGATTCAGCTCGGGCTTCTATCAAGGACAGCCATTTTCCGAATATGGCGCTTTCGCAAGAAGTTTCTCCAACACGAAAAGCTTCGCAGCGAAGCCAGAAGCTCAAGCCGTTTTTCGCCGAATCGCACAAGTCAAGTACCCCTCCGATTGGAGCAATCGGAGCCGTTGAGGGAATAGCATCCACACGAAGAAGGCATTCGACATTGCAAATTTCTCGCGAAAGCACGCCTCACCGACACCTTCCCCACCAACATTTCCTCGTTTCAGTGCTGGAATAGCAATCCCCCCAGGCAAACCCCCTCAGTTGTGATGAGCAAGTCTGGTGGTAGTTTCAGCCTCCCTTTCCACGACTTGTTGCCTTGCTGGCATAACTTCTTTTCCGTCGTATCTACCTTCCCACAACGAAAAGAACCATGGCGCTAGGATGGATACTTTGTACTTATACTGGCGTACGTGGTTCCTACTTGGTACCTAAACCAACACGCAGCGACTTTCTGAAACAACTAGAGTCGTCACCAGCATCTCTGTTTGTGCACGCTTTTCAACAAACGCTTTCCTAGCAGCTCGAAATACGACAATCTAATCTTCGATGATGGCGCGTGTTAGCAAGGCTGTGGTATTTCTCACGCTCCTAGGCCTCGTCGCATCAGGTAAGACTCCAACGGCGAGGCCAACCTTTTCTTGCATCCCATATGTGTCATGCTCAGCACGACGCGACCACGTGGAGGATGATTCATTTTTTCTTTTTCTAAGCCGTCGTCAGTATGCTCATCTCTTCTCTCGTTTCAGGGGTTCTCGCCCAGGGACCCGGCTATGGCGGCGGCAGGGGTGGCGGAGGGCGCGGTGGACGGGGATTTGGTGGGGGACGCGGAGGTGGCGGCAGGGGCGGCGGGCTGGGACGGGGCCCTGGTGGGGGCCTTGGGCTGGGCCCTGGCGCCGCTCTGGGCACGTTCTACGGCCACGTGGAGGCTGATCTGACGGGCAACGGCAACATCACTGGACGCATGCACGTTGTTGTCTTCAAGTGAGTGCCATTCACGAGCATACTCCAGGCGTAGTACTATGCTTACAATGAAGCACTTCTCGTTCCTTGATTTCTTCGTTCTTGTGCGCTTTTCAACGTGTCATTCGTGCTTCCAATTCGTGCTTTTGATGCGTTGGTCAGGAACAACACCGACTACAATGTCCGTTACGTGCTGAGGATTGGCGGCCTGCCAACCCCAGGTCTTCCTACCGCTGCCGCCGTCCTGAATAGTAACGGCGACGCTGTCCTTGATTTCCCCGATGCCACGTGGACCAACACCACTGGCCAGCAGCCTTATGGCTACGGCTGGAGGAGGCGCAACCGCGCATGGGTCTTTGGTGTGTGTTTCCGTTACAATGCGACCGGGGTTTATTACAACGCGAACACAAAGACTACTGATGGCGGCAAGACTATTGGGTCTATTGCTGTGGCCATGGTTGCCGCTCCTGCAGCTTATAGTGGCCGCATCACTGCTCCTGGTGGCGTTGCTTCTGGCAAGTTCCACACCTGGCGTTAGAGATTTGCACGTGGAATGGGTGAGTTAGGGATGTATTGCTATAAGTTTCGCACCTTTTCGCCAGTCAGATGCTAAGCCTGGAGTGGGTGCGAAACTTATTGCATTTATCTTTAGTTGATGCGTGTGGACTTCGTGTCCAGCGGATATTTAGCAGGAAAAATATTTTTGTTTGTGCTGGCAGTGTTAGCAACATTTTCTTCCTATACGGTAAATGTGTAACGAGCGTTTCAATCGTGAATGCTCGGCAACAGCCCAACGAAAACAAAAAGGGTCGAACCATCCAATGCAAACCAGCCAGCTGGGCGGAACAAGCACTGCCACTGGCACACTGCACGTTCGTGCCTGAAGTCGGATTCCATATCCACACACAGCACGTTGCCGCATATGCTTCCACCCCAAACTGTTTTGGCTGCACGCGCACCACATTGTCAGCTTCCTCCATTGCGCGGTAACCATGCATCTCAAAGTCGTCGTTAGACTCGTTATCGCTCGTGAGCTTTAAATCTGTCGCTGACCGGCAAATGTCTCGTTGCACTTGTAACATGCCAGCGAGGCCTACAAACCGTCAAGGAGAACAAACTGGCCACGGAAAAATTCACGGTTGCCAGTCAAACTATAACAAGGACGGTGGGGCGGTTCTTCCTTATCATAAAAAAGCCAATGCAATTGTCAACTATCATGGGCGCTGCCAGCTGTGCGGCAGACGCGCCTGTGGGAAGACTGGTGGTGGCGGCGCCTCAGCGCCTACGACTCGCACACAGGAAAACGCATGGCGCCGACAATAGTATGGGAGCAAGCCTCTGACTGGTTATGGCGCGTTTGCGAGTTCCGGAGCTGCTGTCGCATGTTAAAAAGCGGCAACCACGCTGTCGATGGCGGAAAGCGGGTGTCCGGCGAATTTAGCATCCCCTATTCGATCATTTGAGCGTCACTCAATTGCTTTCGTTGCTTATCTGCCCTACCGAGCTGATTGACTGTTAGAGAAGAACAACCATCATGAGGCTGCACAAACCTTGTTTCGCCGTCTGGTTGTTGCTATTCGTCCACGCATCCATAGCAGGTGAGGATCAATCCGACGTCTGAAATAGAAGGTAATGCCCCGGAGTTTTCGTAGCTATCCACCATATCCTTAGCTGCGAGCTTTAATGACCTCGCATTGACTTCGCCAATGAATTATGTGTCCTTACAGAGGGCGTACGCGTGCTGGACGATGCCGCTGCTCAGCTAAGTGATTCTTAGAAACCGACAGAATCTATCACCGACAGGAGCTGGTCGAGCGTCCGCGCAGTGTCAACATCATGAAGAACCACTGGATGCTCACGACGAAGTATCACGTCGACGACACGGTCGCCCGCGATATTGCCCGCTTGGTCCTAAAAGGCTTCACGCAGGTTTACGGCGCAGATTACGGCGAGACGTGCTCGCCGGTGGGGAGCTAGGTAACTCTGCGGATTTTCCTGAGCATCGTAGCAGTCCTCGACCTGCAGCTGATGCAGCTCGACATGAAAAATGCGTTTTTGCAGAGCAAGCTGGATCGCGTCCTCTACATGTACCAGCCCGACTACTTCAACGACGGCACTGGTCGCGTCTGCAAGCTGCTAAAGAGCTTGTACGGACTGAAGCAGAGTCCGCTGCTATGGTACTCGGCACTCGACGCGGTGCTGATCGCGCTGGTTGGAGCAAGAGCCAGGTAGACGAAGCGTTCTACTTCAAGGTCGGCGACGACGGAGTGGCGTGCTGGGTGCTCGTCTACGTCGACGATCTGCTCGTAGCAAGCAGCAGCACTGCGATGCTGAAGGAGTTGAAGGTGTCAGAACATATAGCTTACTTTTTTCTGTAGGCTATAGTGGGGTATCCCATAGGGGGTACAACCCAAATTAGGGTTTCCTATTTGTACTCACTTCGTTCATAGTCATTCCATTCTCGTTCATATCTTCTCATGGAATCAGAGCAGGTCCCTTCCTAGGGACTGTTCCTAGGGCCCACCGAAGCG